ATGTGCTCTGTCCTTTGCTTTTGGTTCTGGGGGTATGAAAAAGTTCGACACAGCCCGTGAATCTCAATAAAGGTGGGAAAACACACAAGAAGGCAGGTGTGATTCTGAGACACCTGAAGGCAGTGTTTTCAAATTGGTTTATGCCAGTTGCACCAGTGATTGCAGTTATGCGATTTAATTGAATAATATTTAAATTTAACAAAATAAGTGTGAAAAGAGTTCGTATTTCTAGAGTAACTAAAGTCAAATACTTTGTAAAAGTGAATTGTTAAAGAAAACCCCTTGAGTTAGTATGGCAGAGATGACAGTAAAAGATTGGGGAAAGCTGATAATCTAGCAAGATTTCAGTGGTGCATTATGGGTATGCTTCAATCCAATCCAATTTCTAAAAAATGGCAGATGGATTCACATTTACACTTTGAAGTATTGGCATATAAAATTGATGATACCAAAATCTGTGATAGAAGTACCAGAATGTATGGGTCAGAGAGTAAATGGGATAGCAGGTTTTGTAAAGAGAAGAAGAAAAAGGAAATCTGGTGTATGGGGAGAAGTTTCATAGCAGTTAACCACACACTGACTTTAAAGTATGTTTGAAAATATTTTGCCCTTTCATGACTGTTTAGGCAAACAAAAATATTTGCAATTCAATTGTTTTCTGTTAAATTTTCCTTAACTGCACTATTAGATTTAACATTCTTGGCGAAGCTTCGCAATGGAAACTATTTATTATCTGATTTGGCCTGATTTATAATTGAAAGTAGTCAGAACCAATAGAATGTATTTTCTTTGAGACTTATTTTAGGTTCAGGAGATAACCAGGTGGATGAAACAGCATAGAAATGACATGAAGATACAATCAGTCTTTGCTTTCTGTGATCTTGTTTTAAACATTTCATTAAATAATACAGAAGCTAAGGTACATTTAGAATGATTAATCTGAAAAACCCAACCTTCTAGTGTCTATAAAAAAGGTCTGCCTTACAGTGGAGCATTTCAAATAACCTCTTCAAAATCAACACTGTGATTCCTCTCCTAGATCATCAAGTAGAATGGCAGAATTGCATTTGGTATAAAATTAGAATGAACGCTCTTAGAGAAATATGAACTCTTTCTAAATTAAGATTTTGTTACAGACCAATGAACTGCAGTCAAGCAAGCTACCCTGATAGGAGGTGCAGAGAAATCCCAGTTCAGCATTTTTTTGAAAGCTGTCTCTTGCCAGTTCATTCTATCAAAACATAGCAAAAGGGGCTTTATAAACTGTTTTGGTCTCTCTATCATAAAACATCCTACATGATAAAATTAGGGGCTAGGGGTAGACCATATGGGTAATGGGTGTTATATACAAATTTGTTGAAGATAGCAACATGGTTCATTGCTCACAGAAAATCTCAGTATAGCACACTTAATAAAGGGCTGCTCCATTATCACAGTGAAAAATATTACCCCACTCTAAATGAGATTATTCTTAGACTCCGAGACGTCTCTTTTATTGCCACATCCTTGCATGAGTGGAAAATCAATGGAGTTTATCATTCACTGCTGTGACAACTGTTAACCTAAATCTTTGGTGGAGAAGAAGCCTTTAGTGATGTGATGGGGCTGGCTCTTGGCAGCTCACAGGATTTGGTTGTGTACGTCTTCCCTGACCTCAGATTGGTAGCTTGAAACTGGTCACAGTAGGAGCATTTACACCGTGGAAACTGGCACACACTACACATCAGGTTGGTTCTTCCCCTTGTCCTTGAAAGCAAGTTGGTAAACATTAACCGGCACACTACTGCCTCTGAGACAGAAGTTCTTTTCTTTTCAATTTTTGGCTGTGTTGGGTCTTCATTGATGCGAGTTGGCTTTCTCTAGTTGTGGCAAGCTGGAGCTACTCTTCACTGAGATGCTCAGGCTTCTCATTTCAGTGACTTCGCTTGTTGTGGAGTGTGGGCTCTAGGTGCAGGGGCTTCAGTAGCTGCAGCTCAGGGACTCTCGAGTGCGGGCTTCAGTGGTTGTGGTGTTTGGAGTTAGTTGCCTCACAACATGCGGGATCTTCCTGGACCAGGGATCGAACCTGTGTCCCCTGCATTGGCAGGCAGATTGAGACAGAGGTTCTTAAACTTTTTTGTTCCATGAATCCTTTTGAGATTTGCCAAAGCCCCACCTCTGAACAATGTTTTTTTTTTAAATTCAATGAAGTCATTAAATGGTTCAAAGAACAAGTCTATGATATAGTTCCATGTATGCTTGTCTAATGACATTTGTAATAACATGATCCAGAAGCAGATTTAAATTAGGTTATGTAGTGATTAACATAAACTGATTTTGAGATCTCTGCAATGCTAGTGAGGTAAGAAAATATCTATAATTTCTACTGGAGACAAAGTCATTGGTCCAGCTAATACGGCTATGATTTTTTTGGGGGGGGCTACATTCATGACTGAAAGAAAGGCCACATTTCAGGTAGCTGTTTGTGAAAGTAAAGATGTCATTTGAAAAAAAATAAATAAATTTATCGCATGTGATGACTCTTCTTAAACTGATGACATCTAACAACCTTAAGATGGACTGATGTAACTATGGCCATAATGTGACTTTTCATTTTGATTTTAACTTGGTTTAATGACTATTTTGCCTTACATCTATCACTGTATAATGGGGTTTTCTAACCGTCTAAAAGCTTTTAATTTACAAATAGTTGTCCGAGCTCCTATGAGTGCCACAGCCTCCTCCAACTGTTACTTGGAGCCCCTGGATCAGACAGCCTCAGTATGAGGATTAGGAGAATATGGTGCCTCACCAATTTAGGGACAACGCCCCTTGTCAGCTCGGAAGCAGTTATGGAATGAGAACGACGCCCCTTTTCCCTAGGAAACATAATTCTCCTTAAAGAAAAGGGGGGGATGAGAGTCATTTCCTAGGCAGGTTGATAAGAAGTCTAGGGGTCCCCAAGGAGAGAGGGGTCTGGGATATTCAAGGAGGAAGAAAGGACAAACTTTTAAATTTTTTTTCCTCTACATTCCTTAGGATTATATAACAATAATGTATCCTGCCTGAGGACAGTCTTTGGATTAAACCCTCTGGCTAATCCTGTTATCTTAAAATGTAAATTATGGGAGTAGGTCTGGTCTTTACAGGGATGTATCCTGCCTGAGGACAGTCTTTGGATTAAACCTTCTGGCCAACTCTGTTATCTTAAAATGTAAATTATGGGAGTGGGTCTGGTGAGGTCTTTGCAGCCTCCAGACATTCTTTAGATTCATTGGAGAGTATATAACTCCATTGCTAATACTAGCAAGGGGGTACTCTTTTGCCCCCTTCTGATGCCTATGTCAGAAGCTTTCTCTATCTCCTTTATACTTTAATAAAACTTTATTACACACAAAAAAAAATAAAAAAATAAATTAAAAAAAAAAAGATGTCATTTGTTTTCCTTACAAGCCCGTGACTGCTTTGAATTCTATCCAGGGACCCCTTGGGAACACACTGACTCTGGGTTAAGAAGGCCTCTCTCAGAATCCTCTTTCACATTTTTAAGCATCACAACGAACCTTTCTGCTTCATATAGGTTATCTGCAAAGTAGAGGTAAAAGGGAGGACTTCTCTAGAAAATATGGCTATCGTTGAACTCCAGCCAGTATTCACAAAGTTCACAAATAATGGTTCTGTTTATATGGTAATTCTTCAAGCTCTTGTTTTCACTTAAATAAGCACTTCCACCTTGATTATTCAGCTGTAGCTCTATCATGTCAGGTGAATGCTTTTATTTATTGCCCAGAATGTCATGTAGCCCAGACATCGTGCTTGAAATCTTCGCTCTGTCGTCCATGCACATGTCTTTCTCAGCCCTACCTCTCAAACCCGCCTGTCTTTCTCTGTTCACTCTCCAAGCTCAGGCCAGAATTCGTTTCCAGTTAGACTGTTAGAATAAACCCCTAGCAGCTCATTCCAACTTCAGTCTTGCCTCCTCCCATTTATTCTCTGCTCTGCTTTCAGTTATTTCTCCAGAACACAGATCTAACCATTTCACACACACATCCTTTCCTCAGAGTGTATTTCCTTGAGCTGAAGCCAGCCTTCATTGCCATCATTCCCCCCAAAAGAATGTTCCAGAAATGATAGAAGGTTCCCCATTCCCCCAGGCATGCCCTGCATATTCCCAGCCCCTCACAGTCTATCCTCTTTTTTAGAAGGCCCTTCATCCTTGTTTTGCCTTCTGTTGGTCTATCTGATCCTGCAGAATTCTACAGTCCCTATTCTCTCATTGAACTTTGTTTTTTCCTTTCTTGTTGCCTTTAACACACAATTTCAGTTTGTATTATTTCATCTGTGAGCCTCAATATAGAAGGGATGGAAATATACCCAACCTGAACTTACTGGGCTTCACAGGTGCCTCAGTGGTAAAGAATCCGCCTGCCAATGAGGGAGACCCAGAAGGTGCAGGTTCAATCCCTGGGTCAGGAAGATCCCCTGGAGGAGGAAATGGTAACCTACTCCAGCATTCTTGCCTGGAAAATTCCATGGACAGAGAAGCCTGGCAGACTACAGTTTATGGGATTGCAAAGAGTCAGACATGACTAAGCGACTAACACACACACACACACACACACGTGTAACTTTGTTCTGTATTTGTAAATGTGATGTTATATTTTCATAATTTAAAAAATAAAAAAGAAAAAATCTTAGGTTTATAATTGACCCAAGGAAACACTCTCATTAGCATATGATGCCAAGGACTTTGCTTATTAATTAATCTATTAGGTGTAACATTAAAAGTGTAAGTAGAAACACAATATAGGATTCATCTCCTTTTCTACATTGGCAAACAAGCCAGTTTTGGACTTTAATAATTGCAAATACCATCAACCAAGAGATTTAAGGAGATTCCTAAGTCTGTTACTTCTGAACTTGAAATTAATATTGTGATGCTGTGTAGTTAACCAGATTTATAATCATATGAGAAATGTACCATCATGAGGACTAAATTAAGTGGGTCATCTTTTTTGTAGGACCTGATGATGCACAGCAAAAAATAGAACCTCATCACACAGTTGTGCTGGGAGAAGGTGACAGTGTCCATGTGGAGAACAAGGTAAAATTAAAAATACTACTTTTTTCAAAAAAATTTTTTGTTTTTAAAAAATGTTAGTATAATTTTAAAGGTTACTTTCCATTAACAGTTATTACAAAATTTTGGCTATATTCCCCATGTTGTACAATACATTCTTGAGCCTATCTCAAGAATGCACCCAGTGGTTTATATCTCCTAATCCCTCATCCCTATATTACCCCTCCCCTACCCCTGGTGACCACTGGTTGTTTTCTGTATCTGTGAGTCGGCTTTTTTTGTTATATTCACTAGTTTATTGTATTTTTTAGATTCTACATTAAGTATTATCGTATAGTATCTCTTTTTCTCTGTCTGACTTACTTCAGTTAACATAATGCTGTCTAAGTCCATCCATGTTGATACAAATAGCAAACTTCCATTTTTTTATGGCTGAGTAATATTACATTGTATATATGTACCACATTGTCTTTATCCATTAATCTGTTGATGGACACTTAAATTGCTTTAATCTTTTTAACTTGTACTTTCTACTAGTTTCCACTTTCCAAAAAAAATGCCCAAATCTCCTGTGTACCTGGATAATTTTTTCTCTTCCTCAGGGAAAGAAACTGTGCCACAAGTTTATCAACCAGTTTCATTAACTTCAGTTATTTCTAGTGGTTTATTTTAAGGTATTACCTATACTGATTTCTCATCTTTAGGAATCATCAAAAGTCCAAATTGTTTACCCCTAGAAGTTTGAATCTGAGGCAACAGCTCTCCTTGTCTCTTATTTTTTCTTTCTTTTTACACTTGATTGATTTTATCTTTGGCATAAGTGAAAATGGATCAGCACTCTAGGGGTATAAATGTAGATCTCCATACATAGTCCCATGGAGCCCTTTGAAATTTGGCCCCATGTCGAAACTGAGAAGAATATATGGTCTATCTCGTAGTCTTTTTGTGTTGAATCCTTGCTTTGTAAGTAAAGTTTCTGATATTGTCAAGGAGCTTTTTAATCTTCGTTGACAGATTTCTTCCTTGTGTTCCTTCTTTTATTCCTTTGGACAAGTCACTCACCATCTTGTGAGCCTATGAGGCCCATATGGCTGCTTTGTGACATTCTAATAAGGAAAATTGAGGAGACAGTTGTGCCAAAGCTCCTGCAAAGTTGAATTTTGAAAAGTAGGGATTAAAACTGTGTCAGCATGCAGGTGACTGGCAGAGAGGCCATCTGACTGACCGCCATCTCTCAGACCCTGGCATGGTAGAATTCAGTGGGTGTGAGGAAGGTTGCCTTTGCTGACTGTTCCCCTATTGCTCCTTTAATTCTCTGTGGCACCTCCAGGAGCAGTGAAGTCAAGGGAAGCAGAGGCCCGTGAGCTCTAGAGGAAATGCGTATCTTGGGGTCCGTGCTCACTGTTATTAGGTTAAACTGTATGAAACTGCCACGTCTGACCTACAAAAATGATGATTTCATCTGTTTCCACCCAATTCACGAAAGAGGCATGGAAGCTATATATAAGCCAGAGAGCCTCCTGACACCAGGTTAGGCTGTAACATTACCTGGTTTAACTTGACAACCTCGGGCCTCTCTGTGATGTACCACAGGGCACACTGCAGGTGATCAGGATTTGGAAGCTGAAGCAGAACACCAGAATGAAGATGTGAGGGGAGCCAGAAATAGGGAGGCAGTGGGATGTAAAAAAAAATTGTCAGCTGAAGCCATCAGTTCTGTGACCCAGGGGCAAGGTTCTGTTACATGCCCCTCTGTAATTTTGACTGTATGTAAGTGTAGCTTGAGCCATCAAGACATTAGGAAGAGCTCTTAGTTCCAAAAATTAGCCTTTACATGAGCGTGTAGCACTTATATCCAGGAAGAGTAGAAAGTCCCCCTTAGACACCACAGAAAGAGCCTGTGACAGTGTGAATCTTGGCTTTGCCACTCATTAGCCACATGACTTTGGACACAGTTCTCAACGCCCCCCTGGGCTTTGTTCAGCTTTTTGTCTGCAGATTTGAAATCATGATGCCAGCTGCATGGGACTGTCAGACTATGTGTGATTATGCAGGTCAAGAGTCTAGGCCACATCTAGCATGGGGCTCAGTAATTTATGCCCACTAGACCAGATGTAAACTTTTCCTAAAGTTTCATTGAATCCCAGTCACACCCATTCATTTCCATTTGTCTGTGGATGCTTTCATACCACAGGTAAGTGGCTGTGACAGAGGCAGGGTGGCCCACGAAGCCTAAAATCTTTACTCTCTGGCTCTTTACAAGGACAGCTTTGCTTACCCCTAATCTAGTACACAGTGGGTGTCCAGTGATGATAGCTGGAAAGTTCACTGATCTAAACACTTGATGTGACAGGTGGTCATGCCACATACATGTTACTTAATAAGGATTCATACCTTGGGCCCTCAAGTTTAGGACACGTAATTTTCTGCAGCTAGAAAAAGGCCTTAAAGGACTCTTATTCAATTGGGCTCCAGGCCAGAGGTGTCTTCACTCAGGACTAGGACTGGCCTGAGGATGAAAGAATGACCTGTGCCTTCATGGTTCTCCCCTGTTCCCCCGTGCACGGAGTTGTGGGCAGGAATGAGGAGCTGATAGGTAGTCCCTGGATTTCCTCTGTTTTGCTCTTCCTCTGCTTCTCATTCTGTGTCTTCACCCTCATGCCCGTCTCCCTGGTGGCCCAGGAGTCTGGGTGGGTTTCTTTGGAATGGCCAGTCCTTGGGCAGATGAGGAGGGCAGCGAAGAGTTGATGTAGACCACATCTTGGACCAGCACATTTTAGGCCACAGGGAGCTCTGTCTTTCTCACTCGGAGTGTGGATTATCTTTTGTGACTGTATTCTGAAGTCTTCCAGGAGGGGAAGCAACTGCAGGGGGCTTGGTGTATACTGAAGAGTTGTTAAGCCAGACTCTTTGACTTCTGAGAAGAAGCCCAAATCCCAGCATTGACTTCAAAATGGCCCTAACTTTTATGTTGTTCTTAGAGATGGAGCTCAACCCCGGGCTATTCTGGACATTTAAGCCTGGGCTGGAATGGCCACCCTGGAACAGCCTATGTTCTGAGCATTCAGGCTCCTTGTGCTGCTTTGGCAGCAAGGTACCACAGTTAGTACCCTGGTTGCTAACATGGCTCCCTGATCAGGAGCACATGGATTTAATGTGAAGGCTTGGTCTCACCTTTAAACTTGTGTTTGTACTAGTGTCCTATTGAGAAAGTCTTAAGCCTCATGGTTAACAGATTTACTTGTAGTTTGTCAAGGTAGACAATCAATTCCTCTTTAACTGCCATTGAAACCATACTTGAGAGTAATGGTACTCTTTAACAAATTTTTCTTTCAATTTTTATTTTAATTAAATGTTAATCTGTATTAATTTAATGTATTCCCCATGAATGGTGCCAGTTAAAGAGTACCATTTAAAGTTAGAGACAACTTTTTGCTGATGTATAAAAATTCATAGTAAAATAAACCATTAATCTTCAAAAACTGGCAACAGTTCATTGTTTTTACTTTCACTTGACCTAAGAAATATAAACAATGAAATTGAGTAAGAGTAATTGCATGCAATTAAGTCCTGTTAAATTTCACTTTCTGGTAATGTTTTTCAGGTAATATTTCACTATAATAAACATTCCTGAAGCAAAAGCATGCCTTTAGATTCATTCTCAGAGTCCAAGAGCCATCTCAAGCTTTGTATTGAATATTTCTGATCAATAAAACAAACTCTGAATGCATATTCACAGTGTAGAGGTTGTCACCAGCTTAGATGAATCTTAGGGCTTCATCTGGGCTTCAGTCATTCTTGTCGTTATCAGTGGAACTCAAGACATATCTTGGCAATTTTTATGGACTAACAGAGCATTTTGTAAAAGTGAATTGTTACATAAACCCAGAAGGTCCTGACTCAAAACTAAACTCTGAGAAGGTATGCCAAAGTGAAAGACATGTTCTGGACCCCAAAAAATCATGAGTGTAGGTTGGGGCAGCTATCCATGAAGCAGTAGGTGGACTTCTGTTACCTTTGTATGAAAGTCTTTTCATCAGACCCCAATAGGGCACTGACTTAGATCCACACAGGGACTCATGACCTTCAATAGGTCTTTCCTTCTGCTTGCTTTGACCAGTCTTCTCATTTGATATTGTACCCAAAGTCACCTTGCCATAGACGAGAACTTTTCAAGATAGCAGCAATTGCACTCTAGTGCACAAGCCACAGGAGAAGGCAATGGCACCCCACTCCAGTGCTCTTGCCTGGAAAATCCCAGGGACGGAGGAGCCTGGTAGGCTACAGTCCATGGGGTCGTGAAGAGTTGGACATGACTGAGCGACTTCACTTTCACTTTTCACTTTCATGCATTGGAGAAGGAAATGGAAACCCACTCCAGTATTCTTGCCTGGAGAATCTCAGGGACAGAGGAGCCTGGTGGGCTGCCGTCTATGGGGTCGCACAGAGTTGGACACAACTGAGTGACTTAGCAGCAGCAGCCGCACAAGGCACAAGAGCACTCTAGTGAAAATTCAGAAAGATCATCAGCTTTCACCAAAGAAGACTAGGTAAGGGAAGAAAAAGGATGCACTTAAGGAAAAAGAAAAAGACCCAAAACATCTGGCTTAGGTTAGAGGGCAAAGGTCCATGCAGTGGTTAATTTTGTGAAAAAGTCATTCAGAGGAGCTTGGACTAGCCTGCTGCTTTATGAAATGGAAAGTCCAATACCCAAACAACTCAACACCCAGCAGTTGGATCATTTTTCATTTCAGACCAAACACTAGTGTCCTTTTATCCAACTGTCTGACTTATAAATGAAAGTCATCATTTGATTTGACTAATGTCAAAAGGGACAAAACTTGAATTTTGAGCACTTTATTATTATTCCAAATTGTGTAAACTGTAGGACACATTTGTCACTCACAAAAGATGTATCTTCTGAATTAAGAAACTTACATTCTGAGGAGTCATACCCGTGACACAAGGAGGTTGGCCTTTTCTTTCCTTTTCTCTTATGACTCCTGATCCTTTTCCCCCTGTTTCCTGAACCTAGAAGTCAAGTGCTTAGCTCCTCCAAAAACAAACACCTCAAAACAGTTTGTAGTGATATCCTCCCTCGGATTAAAGTATAAATGATGTAATACCAGTGATCAGAACTATTTATAAGATACTTTTCTTGAATGTGTCATTTGATCCACACTGAAATTTCGCCCCTTCAAAGCCCTTAGTGAATAAATCTTTTTCGATAACTGCATGCTTTGTTTTAAGTTGATTTTTTTAGTCACTTAAACATGACATTGAATAAGAAAACATTTAAGTTGAATAAGAAACCCTCCCCTTTCTTGTGGACTCTTGGGCTACTGCATAATACTGCACAGTTTAACTTACTCATAACCTTGGGTCATCAGCATGTAAATATATTGATTACTCTCCTGAGCTATTAAGTATGATGATGTGTTTAGGGCTTGCTGGCTCCTACAGTAAGTGGTCCTAGACTAGTTTTTAAGCTTCTATATCTGTTTTTCATAGTTTTGTTTGTTTTTTTGTTTTTAATTTCCATAATTGATGTTAAGCTATCAATTTCCTTGTACTGCTGTATAGTGGTGCTTTCCTATCTTCTAGCTTTGAATCTCATGGATCTGATGACCACAAAGCCTAACTATTAACATTGTATACAGTGTCAGAATAAGTGGGAATTGAATGAGGGTCTATGCTGAGGTTAAAATACTAATCTAGAAGATGGGGTTTATGACATCTATTTTTAAAATTTGAATTAGCAGAAGCCTTTTTAGTTTACTCTTTTTTTTTTAAACTCCTTACTCAGGACTTCTTTATTGCATGCTTGAAATATGCCCCAGTATGCAGTGGTTTTTTTTTTTTAACCTCCTAAAATATAACTGTTTCAATTACTTACCACATATCTGTTTTTAAAAGGCAAAGGACATTTACTGCCCTCCCCAAAATGTCATTTACTTTTCTGTCAAATGTCATTGAATTTTCAATTTTGTTTGAAGGATATTGCTTTACAGTGTTACAGTGGTCTCTGCCTTACACCATCGCAAATCAGTCATCGCAATCAGTTGACTCTTTGCAACCCCATGGACTGCAACATGCCAGGCTTCCCTGTCCATCACCAATTCCTGGAGCTAACTCAAACTCATGTCCATCAAGTCGGTGATGCCATCCGACCATCTCATCCTCTGTCATCCTCTTCTCCTGCCTTCAATCTTTCCCAGCATCAGGGTCTTTTCCAGTGAGTCAGTTCTTCGCATCAGGTGGCCAGAGTATTGGAGCTCCAGCTTAAGCATCAGTCCTTCCAATGAATACTCAGGTCTGATCTCCTTTAGGCTTGACTGGTTAGATCTCCTTGCGGTCCAAGGGACTCTCAAGAGTCTTCTCCAACACTACAGTTCAAAAGCATCAATTCTTTGGCGCTCAGCTTTCTTTATGATCCAACTCTCACATCCATACATGACTACTAGAAAAAAACCATAGTTTTAAGAATACTGGAGTGGGTTGCCATTTCCTTCTCCAGGGGATCTTCCTGACCCAGGGATCAATCCTAGGTCTCCTGTGTTGCAGGCAGATTCTTTACCAACTGAGCCACCAGGGAGGCCCGACTGACACTTGACTAGACGGACCTTTGTTGGCGAAGTGATGTCTTTGCTTTTTAATATGCTGTCTAGATTGGTCATAACTTTCCTTCCAGGGAGTAAGCATCTTTTAATTTCATGGCTGCAGTCACCAATCTGCAGTGATTTTGGAGCCCAAAAAAATAAAGTCTGTCACTGTTTCCATTGTTTCCCCATCTATTTGCCATGAAGTGATGGGACCAGATGCCATGATCTTAGTTTTTTGAATCTTGAGTTTTAAGCCAGCTTTTTCACTCTCCTCTTTCACTTTCCTCTAGAGGCTCTTTAGTTCCTTTTCGCTTTCTACCATAAGGGTGTTGTCATCTGCATATCTGAGGTTATTGATATTTCTCCCTGCAATCTTGATTCCAGCTTGTGCTTCATCCAGCCCAGCATTTCTCATGATGTACTCTGCATATAAGTTAAATAAGCAAAAAATAAAAAAAAGTTAAATAATCAAGGTGACAATATACAGCCTTGACATACTCCTTTCCCGATTTGGAACCAGTCTGTTGTTCCATGTCCAGTTCTAACTATTTTTTCTTGACCTGCATACAGGTTTCTCAGGAGGCAGGTAAGGTGGTCTGGTATTCCCATCTCTTTAAGAATTTTCCAGTTTGTTGTGACCCACACAAAGGCTTTAGCATAATCAATAAAGCAGGAGTAGATGTCTTTCTGGAATTCCTTTGCTTTTTCTATGATCCAACGGATGTTGGCAATTTGATCTCTGGTTCCTCTGCCTTTTCTAAATCCAGCTTGAACATCCGGAAATTCTTGGTTCATGTAATGTTGAAGCCTAGCTTGAAGAATTTTCAGCATTACTTTGCTATCATGTGAGATGAGTAATTGTGCGATAGTTTGAGCATTCTTTGGCATTGCCTTTTGCTGGGATTGGAATGAAACGTGACCTTTTCCAGTCCTGCGGCCACTGCTGAGTTTACCAAATTTATTGGCATATTAAGTGTAGCACTTTAACAGCATCATCTTTTAGGATTTCAAATAACTCAGCTGGAATTCCATCACCTCCACTAGCTTTGTTTGTAGTGATTTTTCCTGAGGCCCATTTGACTTCACACTCCAGGATGTCTGACTCTAGGTGAGTGATCACAGCATCGTGGTCATCTAGGTCATAAGATCTTTTGTGTATAGTTCTTCTGTGTATTCTTGCCACTTTTTCTTAATATCTTCTGCTTCTGTTAGGTCCATAACATTTCTGTCCTTTATTGAGCCCATCTTTGCGTGAAATGTTCCCTTGGTATCTCTAATTTTCTTGAAGAGATCTCTAGTCTTTCCAATTCTGTTGTGTTCCTCTATTTCTTTGCATTGATCACTTAAGAAGGCTTTCTTATTGCTCTTTTATATTCTTTGGAACTCTACATTCAGATGGATATAGCTTTCCTTTTCTCCTTTGCCTTTCGTTTCTCTTCTTTTCTCAGCTATTTGTAAGGCCTCCTCATACAACCATTTTGCATTTCTTCTTATTGGTCTCTACCTTACATCATTGCAAATCAGTCATAGTTATGTATATATATATTCCCTCCCTCTTGAGCCTCCCCCCACCCCGCTCCATCCCACTCCTCTAGGTTGTCACAGAGTGCCGGGCTGGGCTCTCTGTGTTATATAGCAACTTCCAACTAGTTATCTGTTATACACATGAGAGTGTATATATGTCAGTGCTATTTTCTAAATTTATCCTAGCCTCTCCTTCCCCTGCTTTGTCCACAAGTCTGTTCTCTACATCTGGGTCTCTATTTCTTCTCTCTAAATAGCTTACTCTGTTGATTTTTAGCTGAGTTCACATTAGTACATTTTGATAGCAAATAGGGAGTAAATTAAGACTTTCACAGAAATCAATTGACCATATTTATCTTATCACAAGTTCTTCTGCTGGTTTCTCTGGCATGATTGTGTCAGAAGACATTAGCAATAGGAGGGCTGTCTGGAAGTTTACAGCACCCTAATGATTTTTGGGCTCCAAAATCACTGCAGATGGTGATTGCAGCCATGAAATTAAAAGACGCTTACTCCTTGGATGGAAAATTATGACCAACCTAGATAGCATATTAAAAAGCAGAGACATTACTTTGCCAACTAAGGTCCGTCTAGTCAAGGCTATGGTTTTTCCAGTGGTCATGTATGGATGTGAGAGTTGGACTGTGAAGAAAGCTGAGTGCCGAAGAATTGATGCTTTTCAACTGTGGTATTGGAGAAGACTCTTGAGAGTCCCTTGGACTGCAAGGAGATCCAACCAGTCCATCCTACAGGAGATCAGTCCTGGGTGTTCATTGGAAGGACTGATGCTGAAGCTGAAACTCCAATACTTTGGCCACCTCATGCGAAGAGTTGACTCATTGGAAAAGACCCTGACGCTGGGAGGGATTGGGGGCAGGAGGAGAAGGGGATGACAGAGGATGAGATGGCTGGATGGCATCACCGACTCGATGGGCATGAGTTTGAGTAAGCTCCGGGAGTTGGTGATGGACAGGGAGCCCTGGCGTGCTGCGATTCACGGGGTCGCAAAGAGTCGGACACGACTGAGCGACTGAATTGAACTGAATGATGTACAGAAAATCTCCCTAGTGATGTATACAAAAGTGTATCTTTCCCTGCATCCACACTAATATTGGATTTAATAATTAATATTTTTTTTAGTTTCAGGGATAAAATACCTCATCTTAATTGTAAACAAAAACAATAGGATCCTTTTGGAGAGAAATTTGCCTGAGCAGATGTCCCTGGGATGTTTTTATAAGGTTCCATTTAGTGCAGCATTTCTGGGGCATATTTTATACTAATAGTAATAAATGTTGAAAGTAATAAAATGTTCCTTTTGGATTTACATGAATAATTTTCCATTCTCAAAATTAAAATTTTAGTAGGAAATTATAAGCTCTATAATAAGCCAAGTTATTTATAGTTTGTCATGAAGGTGTTTCTAATTAAAGAAAAATCTTAATTTAAATTTTCCTTTATTTGAATAGGTTATTATTTTGGTGGTTGGGACATATTCTTGAGTTTTGATTGCCACCAAGCATCTTAAAGAATGATCATTTCCCTATTGCACATTGCACAGAAAATATTTCTGGAATTTATCTTTAGAATTAAGGACATTATCCATTTGGCCAGAAGGTCAGCTTCAAATCATTCCTAATCAGTAGTCAAAAATAAATCTATTTATTATTTGTTGCTTTCTTTCTTGCCTTTAGGATCCTGAGAGAAGCCACTTTGTCCTAATTGCTGGGGAGCCATTAAAAGAACCAGTTGTCCAGCATGGTAAGCCACAAATAATGGCGATTTTCTTGGTTGGTTTTCATTTCTTTGAAAGCAGAGTACATCTATAGTATCACTGGGAAGAACAGCTGGATTTTTGTCCTCTATGTACAAAGTTGAGGATTTTGTTTCATTTCTCTATTGTCAAAGGAAAATATACACATGGTATTTATTTCTATATTCATGCTCTCTTTCTTTTCAAGAAACATTTCTTCAGTATCCATCACGTGTAGGACATGGAGGTTTGAACTTTCGGAGGACCAAAAACAGTATTTTTTATGTTGTGTGAAGAGAATTTCAACTTAAAAGATTTTATGGTCTACTCGGGAGTCGAATATCATTTTTATCTTTACCAAAAATAACAATGATTTCTTTGTTTTTCTTTTTGGCTATACCACATGGTTTGTGGGACCTTAGTTCCCAGTGACTGAACCCGGGTCCATGGCAGTGAACGTGCTGAGTCCTAACCACTAGACCACCAGGGAATTCCCATAACAGTGATTTCAATACTGTCCTTATAGTTTATTGTCTTATTAGTGAAAAATAGGAACCTCTTCGGAATATTTCTTTGGAAGTTTCTAAAATATTTGAATCAATCTTAGTTAATTGAAAAAAAAAAAAAAGCAAATATAGGGAATTCCCTGGTGCCAGTGGTTAGGACTCTGCACTCTCACTGCTGAGGACCCACGTTCAACCCCTGGTCAGAGAACTAAAATACCACAAGCCATGCAGCATGGCCAAAAAAAACCCAACCAAACCAAATAAATAAAGACATAAGAAGATAAACAACAAGGGATTACTGTATAGCACAGGAAACTATATTCAATATTCTATAATAGACCATAATGGAAAAGAATGTAAAAAAGAATGTGTGTGTGTCTATATGTATCACTGAATCACTTTGCTATACAGCAGAAATTAACACAAAATTGTAAATATACTTTAATACAACAAAACAAATAGAGATAACTGTGGTATAGTAGAAATAGGACTGTACTTGGAAGCAGAAAATCCTGAAATAGGTACTCATAATAGTCACTTCAGTTCTTTGTCTTGACTTCTTCAAAATGTTGTTGTTTGATTAAGTGAGGATCATCTAAAAGCACCTAGAATTCAACCTATTATTTAGATAAATGCCACAAAGCATAGTGTACCTCCACTTACCTAAATATTAAATTTAACATGCAATAAAATCCCATTACGCTACCTTGCCTTGGCTAATGATATGTACAGTGGTTTTAGAAGAAAAAAAAAAGACCCAACTGGTCATAAATTTAAAGAAAACTGATTACTTTTAAAATATTCATTTTTGTTCTATTAGTAATTTAAGAGGCCAGCATTTAATTTTACCCCACCTAGCCCATAGCATTTGACCTGGATTTTGCAGGCTTCTGATTTCCACTCCAAAGGTTCATGGTTCTCATTTTCTTTTATCTTGATTGAACAGCCCTGAAATAGTTTGTTTTTCTGGAAGAAGCCTGCAGACAAATTGAGTAGGATCACCAACTTTATTAATAGCAGCTAGTATTTAGGTGGGAAAACAATGTGTGGGATGGAAATCTTCTAAGTTAAGCAGTGTCCCCTGCATCAGTGATGAAAACCAAGAATTCAGCTACAATAGGTGACAGGCCAAAGGAGTGGGACCACTTGTAGCCACCCTCTATTCGCCTCCCATGAATCCTCTCCGAGGCTTGGAACTTGAGGATACTGGGTGTGCTGGCACGCACAAACTTAGATTAACCAAACAACATAGAGATGGCTCCTGAAATCTCAGTTAATGAGAGGCAAAGCATTCTACTTGTTTTCTTTCATTACCTTTTTCAAACCCAGAAAATTTCCTTTTATCTGGGCCTGTTTGAAGACTGCCACAACCATCTCTTGACTATTTGGGAACCAGTACTAGTTGACGAGGAAAACGGAATCCAGATGTTCCACTTCTTTACATAACAAATACTTGGGTAGCACTATCTGCTAAGAGCTTTGTTGGCCACATAGCTGGCTTCACACTCGAGCTGTGCAGTTCCAGCCCCCAGGCTTCTGCCCCTCCCTGTGCCTGGTTGCCCCTTCTCTGTCCTGTGGCTTCTGTGACGGAAAGTAATTGTTAGTGGTGGAGCTGGGATTTGAACCCTAGTCTCCTAAACCCTTGTCTTGTGTGTCTCCACTATAGGAAGTTTCTCCATAATGAGAAATTAAACTCACACCATTTTTATTAAGGTAGAGGGAGGGAGTTCAAAGACTTAATTAGAGAAGAGATGAAATGTGTAGGTTAAAAGAGGATTGATAGAATTATACATAACTAGCAAATAATTTTCTTGTTCATAACCCTTACATGTGTTAAAAAACATGCCTTCTGGGGGATATAGTGTACAACATGGTGACTATAGTCAATAACACTGTACTGCATATTTGGAAGTTGCTAAGAGAGTAGATCTTAAAAGTTCTCATCACAAGAAAAAAATTCTGTTATTATGTGTGCTAAGAGATGATAACTAGACTTATTGTGGTCATTTCCCAGTGTATGCAAATACCAAATAATTATGTTATACTGGAAACTTATATAATGCTGTATGTGAGTTATACCTGAATTTCAGAAAAATAAATTACTTTAGTTATATACTGTTTCCCCCACCAAAAGGGCTTCCCAATTGGCACTGGTGGTAAAGAACCCGTCCTAATGCAGGAGATGTAAGAGATGCGGATTTGATCCCTGAGTTGGGAAGATCCCCTGGAGGAGGGCATGGCAACCCACTCCAGTATTCTTGCCTGGAGAATTCCATGGACAGAGGAGCCTGGTGGGCTACAGTCCATAGGGCTATAAGGAGTTGGACACGATTGAAGCGACTTAGCATGCACACATTCCCTGCCACCACCCCCCAAAAAAAGAAAAACAAAAACATGCACTTTCTAGTTTCAGTTTTCTTCTTCAGGATTTGAGATGAACTTCCTTACCTTGGCTTTGGAGGGCTCATGCTTCCAGTGATTACCTTGTTTCTCAAAGTGTGGTCCTTGAACCAGCAGCATCAGGATCACTGGAGAGATAGAAATGCAGAGTATCAGACCTCACTCCAGACCTTCTGGTTCAGAATCTGCATTTTAATAAGATTCCCAGGTGATTCACGTGCACATTATGATTTGAGAAGCACAGCAGAATACCCCCAGAGAAGTGTCCAAATGGAAGCCCAGAAGTGTACTGTTTGTACAGAAAAGGAATTGGGGGAGGAGAGAGATGCTTCACAAGTCCCATCTCTAGCAAAATTGTGATGTGTAGAAAGTCACTCCTTGGCCCAGTACCTGCTCTCATTTTCTGAGTTCCATTTCCCTTTCTTTTCTGTGTCCTTTGAAAAGTTGACTTTTCCAGGATGCCCTCTAGAATTTATTATTTATTTTGCATATTTCCTACCTAGTATAGTCCACATCTCCAGATGAAATTTCTCTCGTGAGCCCCAGAACCCTGTTTCCAACAATGTACTGAGCACCTCTGCCAGGAAGCTGTCTGATTGTCTCCAGTGCCTTCATGTCAGAATATCCAGAACTGAGCTCCTTGCTCCCACAGCTTCCTGTGTCTCGTGTCTCAGATATCCTTAAACAATTCCACCATCAACTCAGCCTCCCAGGCCAGACATCTTCTCTACCCTGATGCCAAAGGTGTCTTCTCCAAACTGCACATCAGATCACAGTGCTGTCTACTTAACTCTTCGGTGATTCCTGATCACCTGCGGAATTAGGTCCAAACGTCTGCCGAGAGATCAAGTTCAAAACCCAGAGTGGTCTGGCCTCTTCCTCCCTATCAGATCCCGTCTCCCTCTGTTTCCCACTTCGAGCCTTCCTTCCAGCGCTGTGCCCCACTGTCACTGCCTCCCGCTTGCTAGTCCTGAAAATGTCTTTCCTCCATGTCTGCCTGTTTGGACATCACCATGTTTATGAATTCTGTCCTGGGCTGCTCCTCCTCCCCTTTCTGTGCTAATTCTTTGAATTTTCCCTGCTTTTGTCATTCTGTTTGTCACACTGTTTTGTAATAATTTGTTTCCGTATTTGTCTGTGTGACAGATTTGAGATCCTTGAGGGGAGAGCGTCTGTCGTTCAGCTTTGTCTCTAGCTCCCAGTGCCATGTTCATTATTCAATAAGTGCGCAATAAATACTGGATAGATGAGTCATTAAATGAGTGAATTTAGATGCCTGCTACCTGTTTTCCCTTTCTCTTGCCATCCTGTACCTTGCAGTCTCTCAAAAGGCCTCAATATCATCAAGGCATGTGATATTGGAATCTTCCTTCTCAAGTGCTAAACCAAAGTGAATGCCAAATCTGTGCTGATATGCTAACAGTAATTAATAAGTTTGACCGTGTTATTCCAAGTATTAAGTTATGTTTTAATCTGGGTCTCTCAGAGAAAAACCTCTTAGATGAAGCACTTTGCAAAAGGCTCCTGATGGAACATCTGCAGGCTAGGGCAAGAGATATACTGAATGGACAAATCTGTCAGCTCCTTTCAAGACACTGCCAATGCCATATAAGAGCTGGCCCTGTTTATCCAACAGACGTTGGAGGTGATACAGTCTAAGACAATACCCTTTTGCTCCTACAGTATGTGAAGAGAGGGAAAGAGACATTTTGCCTCTTGGTTGATGAGAAGAGGACTTCTACACCTTTAGCAAAAGCCAAGTTCAAACCTAGGAATTAGACAAACTGTAACCCATGGGCCAAATCTGTCTACTACATGTTTTTGTAAATAAATTTTGTTGGAATATTATCTATGACTGCTTTTGTGCTTCAACAGAAGAGTTGAGTGGTTAAGACAGACACAGTTTGACCCACAAAATCTAAAATATATACTATCTGGCCTAAGTGTACTGACCCCTGGAGACTCCAAAATGTGATGTCTTCTTAACTTGAAAATTTTGTAATTTAGTGTCTGTCAGGTGCTACTAATTTTAAGAAATGACTTGGACTCCTCACATAAGGACACGGCCTCATATACTGTGCAGATACCAACACTGTGATGAGATTTGCCAATTTTTAAAAATCAGTTCAGTTCTTGATATCAGTCAATTCAATTCTATACAACTGACAACAACAATAAATCTTAAAGTTCTCTTCACAAGAAAAATTCTGTAACTATGGATGGTGACAGATGTTAAGTAACCTAATGTAGCAATCATTTCCCAATATATACAAATATCAAATCATTATACTGCACACCTGAAACTAATGTGTGTGCATTATACTTAGATAAAAAAGATAAAGAGGATAAAGAGAAGTAACAACTACAAAAATAGTTACAATAGAACCAAACCTGAGAATGTTTCAAATAAAAATATTGTCATTGCTGATGACAGCTTGGAGTGGATGAGTGAGATATAATTGCATTTTTTAATCTGAAGTTTGTTCTTTATAATCATAAACAATCCTAGTCAAGAAACTTGTACTACAGTCCTTAGGGATCGGGTGCTGTGAAAATAACCTTGTTCAGATATGCCTGAGTTTGTTTCAAATTAAGAAGTACAGAAATATGTACGTACCATTTTCACAATAGAAAAAAATGTTCTCATCACCTGGGACTTTCTGAACATCTCTTTTCTGCTCTAGGTCCATTTGTGATGAACACAGATGAAGAGATTTCTCAGGCCATTCTTGATTTCAGAAATGCGAGAAATGGCTTTGAAAGAGCCAAAACCTGGAAATCAAAGATCGGAAACTAGTGACAAGCGTAAGGGCAGCTCTGACTGCCTTCTAGAATGTTGCCCTTTGTAACATCCACCCATTCAGTGTGTGCAGTTTCCAAGGCTGACATCGCCAGTGTTTGTAAAGAATTCCACACTCAAGTGATAACATGTTTTTTTTGTTTGTTTGTTTAAATATAGCACTGTGTGTAAGATATTTCCTGGCCCAAGCAAATAAACCTAATTGTTGCTTCTCTAAAAATCAGTGGTCTTCATTTCAACCTAAATTACTAAGCTTCTGTTAAAAAATTTTTTGTATATGTTTACCTTTCCACAGATGTGTGCCTATTTTGTCATCTTTGTGCCTGTGTGTTTTTTAAAGCATATTTGATTACTTTCTGTGTGTCTCACTGATATAGGTGTGTGAGCATCTGAGGTCTCTTTCTGAGCAATGCAGTTTCCATGCCTATGTGCTAGGGTTGGTTTCATGTTACAGGTTATCTGCATTAAAGTAACAGCAGTTCTGAGCGCTTCAGTCGGTTTTCAAAACTGCCCTGCTATTGGTAGGGACACGACAGGATTACGGCCAAGACTTCCCTGCTTTTTCTGCCAAAATCTGTGTCAGATTTAAGACACATGCTCCTGCAAGCTTCCATGAGGGTTGTGAAAAAAGTTTGAATCCACAATTGGGTCCCAGCCTTCTGTAGCTGCAAACATTGGTGGCCACACCACCTCCTTATAAAACAACTTGAACCTGGGCATAGGGTGGAAAGATTTTTTATTTTTTTAATTTGCTGGACATGAAATGGATTTAGAGTGCTTTCTTATTTCAAGTAGAAGACATGTCCACTTCCTGATTATTTTTGGAGCATGAGAACATTTACAATTTTTTTCATCTCTCTCCCCCTTCCATAAGATTGCACAGAAACGCACCTTGACTAATTGATTTTGATCACAACTGATTACTTGTTTTTCCCTGTGAACTCTTGGGGTTTCGAACTTTCCTTCTGGAGAATGCCTTTTGAACCAGTTTGCTCTAGCTGCCTGATGTCAACTGCTTGGTAATCAGTGGATACTGAATACAGAATATCCAGAATGTACAGACAGTGGGCAGTGGTGAATATTTTCATGATGTCTTCTCTGCAGTTCGTGCAGGGCTCCAGTTATGAACGTGGACCAGTGAAGGTAGGTGAGCTCAATTTTTCATGTGATGCAGATGTTTAAGTTGGCTTATACAAAGGATTCTTTCTTTGCCCCCACTATTTTTGAGATAATAGCAAAATGCAGAACACTACTAATAGTGGGTAGGATATGTCCTGTACTTGTTAATGAGTATTCTGTTTCTGAAGCTTACTCAGATTCTTGCCATGAGTTTTTTTTAAATGCTTAGGGTAGGAGGCTTTTGGAGATGTAATAGGACATGAATGGGCATTTTGGAATCTTTTCAGATAGGAAAGTTTTCCCTCAACTGCATGTGCAGATGGCACAGTAATTTTTTATTGGAGTATAGTTATTTACAATGTTGCATTAATTTCTACTGTACCACAGTGAGTTTTCTAAGGAAGCATTGATTTGTTTTTATGACACAGATAACTTTGTGAGCTGTTTATTTTCAGGTCATCTGTGAACAGCAAACATTCCTTTTTTTAGTTAGTTAAGTTAGTTAATTTCTTCTGTAATTCAAAAACTGCCATGGGTTTCTGCAGACATTTTCTCTCTGGTTTTCCAAGTTACCCTTTCTACCATGTATAAGAATCTTTTTGTGGAAGTCGTTTTGGTCCTTTGCTTTTTGAAATGTGTGTAAAACTCAGTCATAATCAAATATTGGATTCTATCAGCAAGCATCAAATAGAACCCAATGAATTGAGAGTAATACAAAAAAATTAACTGGGATGTGACTGACTGAGCATGATTTCACCCAGTTTTATGCATTTCACAGTTTATATTGTTGTTCTCAGCTTTTGATTTTGAAAATGGTTACGATATAATTGATTTGACCAAAGTGGTGCTAAATCATTATTGATTTAAGAATCTCTGGCCATGAACAATCAACATGGACTTGAGTTTTTGTAGCTGTTGTTAGGACGTACATTTTCAGTAAGGGTGATACCGCCCCCAACAGGGGAAAATTGTCCTTGGGGGTGAAAACGTCTTACTCTTACGTATAAAGCACAGATGTACATACAGTAGAGAAAGAGATACACTGTATTTCTGGGAAGATTGACCTCTGTGTTAGAGGTAGAGAGCCACCTTGCCCAGCAACAACTTTCCAAATTCCAAACGGACACGAGAGGGATCACAGTTGTTCAGCTCCACTTCAGTGCTGCCAGGCTGGAGTTGGGATCTCAGTGGCAGATTGCAGGTAAACTGGAATCCCATTTTGAGCCTCAGGGACAGGAGATAAAATGAGACTTGTTTGAAACAAGTAAGGCTTTTCAGGCTGTTCAGCTGTTTTTAAGTCCACAAAACTCAGGAGTCCTTTAGGTGTGTTTGGTTTATGGAGGTTCCTACCCACCTCCCAGCCCCACATGGGGTTTTAAAATATTTTCATTTTACTTTGAAGCTTCAGTTGCCTCAGTATAAGAAGAGACAGAATAGCTGGAAAGAAGTATTCTTTAGGTTGTTCAGCTCTTTTAAACAGCAAAGACACAAAGAATTCTTCAGTTGTCCTGGGCACAGTGAGGTTTTACATGTTTCAGGGATTTCCCTGGTGGTCCAGTGGTTAGGACTCAGTGCTGTTCCTACCAAGGGCCCAAGTTCAATCCCTGGTCAGGGAACTAAGATCCCACAAGCCATGTGACATGGCCAAAAAAAGTTTCAGATTTACTGCCAGCAGTTTTATTAATTGTATTAAACAGTTGATTTAATCGGGCACTGGAGGAAAGCAGTTGAATTTGAATGTGACAGAAAATATGTCTTTACACAGGGAACATACAGTGTTATATGCTTAGTGATACCATTAGCAATGTTTTTTTCATATATATCTAGATTGCCTTCAAAAAGGGAAGCTCTGTATAGTGAGCTTAGATCCACCCAACACCTAGCTCAATTAAATCTTTCTGATATGAAGAAAAGACATGCATACAGTTACACAGAAGTTTGGGCACAGATGTGAGTGGGTGGTGAAGGCTCAGGAGGTACATTGTACTGGTTATTATACTTTTTCTCTTTCCCCATAATTTTCTCTTAAGAGAAAAATCCAAGAAGAAATATGTTTCTTAATGTTCTTGTTTAAATCAAAATTTACCATGAAAGCATATTCAGGGTGGTAATGGTTTGGACACTGGAATATGAATGTATTTTGTGCTTGTTGAGATAAAACTATTTCATTTATTATGAGATGTGTCCAGGGTCCTCCTTGGTGGCCGGTCCATGAGTGTGATCTCTAACCTTCCTCTCTCCTGACTACCTCTTTTTCTGAAAGGTTGCCCTTCACCCAGTCTTCACTTTCTAGCCTTGAACATTCTGCTGTTTTTTCAGCTTAGACTAGCAGTGCCTGTAGTACAGTTACACGAGTCTGTGAATATTCTTTATCGTGCAGTAACTGTGCAAACGGCTGCCAGTACCCCCAACAGTTGTGCTCACTGCGATTTGAGTATAAGGCCTCCTGATGTCATCAGTCTTGCCACTTGGACTTAGCTGTTTGGGGTCAGCAGTGCCTGGAATTTGTGAACTGAGAAAAATCTGTTGGAAAGTCTCAACTCAAATTACTCTTTAGCTGATAAGGTTTTCAATCTGAGCAGAATATGTTTTCTTCTACAAATAAGATTAACCCAATCCCTCTTTCTGACTCACTAGTATAATCAGAGTAACCGTCTAGGTATGGGATTTATTTCTATGTCTGTTTTCTCCAGCTTTTATATATGTTGGGGTAGTCATATACAGTTGCATAGGGTGTGCAGTGCACAACTCTAGGACCCTCTATCCACCTGGTCTCATATCTGTATATGATAACCTTGGGTACAGTAGTGTACACTCTCTGGGCTTTTGATTAATAATATCTGCAACCTCATTGTCCTGTCATTTGCATCAATCTTCTGGCCAGTACTATTTCTAGTATATTTGATAAGCATTTCTTGTCACCAGGAATCTTGGCACCCCCTTAGGGGAAGCCATCTGCCATAGATCTTTTCAAAGCTACTGAGGCAGACATACCAATAGAAGTGATGAAGGGTTCATTCCGGGTCCTGGTAGGTTTGGCTAACTCTTTTCTGACAAAATTGGTTTCCTTCTCCCCTATGCTACGTTCCAGCCCCCTCTTTCATAACCTCACTGGCAGGAGAATATTGTTGAGTGGTGGAGTCATTCAGACTCTGCCTAAGACTGGAACAAGTCCAAGATCCGCAGGAATGCAGGACACCTCTAACTTCCATGAGAAGCCACATGGCTCGCAAATTGATAACCTTGTGTCACTTGTCTTCCCCTGAAATTATCTCTAGAGGTAACTGAATAACAAAGACTGAGGTGCACCTTCCATATTTAACTCCAGGAAGCAGACTGGCCCTCACTGCCCTCCGTAGGTCATACACAAGGAAGTCCTTTGACTTTGCTGCTAGTCAGATGGCCCGGTGAGCTCATGTCCGGTTTCCTCTCAGGCATAGTCCTTGGCACAAAGGACATTTGAAATGTTTTCCATTAATTTCTTCTTCATTTATGACCATATAGGTAAATGTATTGAATTACATGCTTCTGTACACAGAGGTCTTCTCTCCTAGTCAGTCACTTTTAACTGGTGGTGAAACCTTTATATCACTTGAGCCTGTTATTGCTATTCATGATACAGTAGAACCCCCTGTATCTTACAGCATGAATATAGTACTTCCATGTATGACTTATTTTTTATTTTAAAAAATCTGATTTGGACTTGTGGATTAACATTTATTATAGACCCTTAAAAGCTCTAGAAAAAAATCACATGAAAGCTATATGTTGAGCAAATTTGATTAAGGAACTGCTCTTGGGACAAGCTTATAAAGACAGTTTGTGGAATGAAAATGTAGTATTTGGACACGTGTGTGCTTCCTTGTAGAGTGTAACGTAGGGTGCTCTGGAACTCCCAGGCACATTTACTGTAACCACAGTGGCCTAGAAGTACTCGAGAAAGAGAGACACAAGTGACAGTGACATTGCTTCCAGGCACATTTCTAAGCTCAGCTCTTTCCCACCACTTGAGATTAGCAGAGATGGTGGGAAACTATCCACAGTGGGGAATGGGATTGAGATGAGGTGAGATGAGACATTTGTTCTTCAGTTGCTTTTATGGTGATGAGTCCTTTTTCTCTCTCCCTTACCACTATTTCTAATAGTCTCTACCAAGATACTAAGATGTTATAAAGCAAAGATACTCTGAGGGCCCCCTGCATCATGAACGTCTTGACAGGTGGTGATGTTCTTTTCCCAAAGGCTCTCCCTTGCCTCTCCTTAGAACTTCCCAATATTTGACATTTCATTTGTTTATTTATTGAGCATCTACTATGTTGAATGCAGCAGGAATTAAGGCAGTGTTTCAGCTCTCATGGAACTCATATTCCAAGTGTGGCAAGTGGAGGCAGGCAATATGCAAACCTGGAACATGTCAGGGGTGGAGTGCTATGAAGAAAATCAAGAAGGGGACAGACACAGAGGGATGGGTCGGGGGAGACTTCTCTGATTTCTTTTCATTTGTGTAGACCTCTGGAGGAAGTGAGAGGGCAGTGGTTGTGGTGAGGGCAGGGCGTGGTCTTGCGTGTTTAGGTATTAGCCAGGGGCCAGTGTGGCTGGAGGAGGGAGAGTGAAGGCCAGAACTGCAGCTTCTGAGGTTGGAGAAGTAGCCTGGGCATATCACATAGAAAGGATGAGATGGTTGAATGGCATCACCGACTCAAATGGACATGAGTTTGAACAAGCTCCGGGAGATGGGAAGGGAACCCTGGCATGCTGCATCCATGGGGTCGCGAAGAATCAGACATGACTTAGTGACTGGACAATAACAATCACCTAGAGTGTGGCTGTGTTCCAGTAAAACTTCATGGACACTGAAATTTGAATTGTGTATCATTTCCATGCATCACGAAATACTCTTCTCATTTGTTGCAATCATTTAAAATTATAGGAAGGAATTCTTAGCTCACAGACCATACAAAAAGAGACTGCAGGCTGGATTTGGCCCACAGGTCATAGTTGGCAAAACCTGATCTGTGTCTATT